GGGGGGGGGGGGGTGGATTGTAAGATCTCGCATCGGTTGGAGAGGAGAACAAAGTATTCTTTATAAGGGTGTGGAAACCTCTCTCTAGCAGATGCATTTTAAAAATCTTGTGGAGTAGCCTGAAAAGGAAAGTCCAAAGAGGACAGTATCTGTTAGCGGTGGACTTGGACGGCTGCAAAATTAGTTTGTTTGATTGGAATCCGATTATATTTTTAAAACTATCACTTTTTATTTATTTATTAGAATTTTAAGATGCTTCAAGGTCTTATTATATATTTAGTCTCCAGTCTTTTTAGCAGCCTAGTAATATCTTGTGACCCTATTCCCTTATCTTGTTCTTTGCAGCTGAAATTCGAAAGCAAAGGCTTACTGAAAAATACAACACTCTCAAGGTATGAATCCGTCATTTGTATTTCATCATTGTCAGTTTAATGCCTCATTATGCTTGTAAATAAGCAACTAATCATTCGGGAGTTGAACGAACAGTCCACGGGGAAGCTCGACGCCTATATGGAAAGGAGGAGGAGGAAAAACGCTGCGAAGGATCGTAGATACATACCGTATCAAAGGTCAAGCAAGAGTGATGAACAAGAGTGATGGTAAAAACGGGTATTGTTCTCTTGGTTGCTTTGGTTTTAGGAGATTCATGGTTCCATATTTTGAGATTTAGAGAAGAAAATGGCTTACTCATAGATAGTTTATAATTTGTTGAATGTTGTTATGTATTGTTTGATGATATGTAAATCTGATGTCAAAATATTTATAATAACTTCTTGTCTTCTTTTAGCTCCAATTTTTGTACTTTTTTTCTAAATGTTTTGACCGTGTACCTGGTCTCCGAGTTGGGTTGAAAGTTCGGGTTGGTTGGATTGATAATCCAATTTAACCCAAAAAAATTTATAACCCAGTCGTCTATTTTTAGGTTGGGTTGTTAAAAAAAAATTAATTTTTAAAAAAGTTTTATATATCATACAATTTTATACAAAAGATGTTAAAAGTTCATGACCAAATATTTTAAAAAACAAATTTATTAATAATAATAAGTAAAAATGTAATGTCTTAGATTCACCGCTAGTAGATATTGTTTTCTTTAGACTTTTCCTTTCGGGTTTCCCCTTAAGGCTTTGAAACGCGTCTGTTAGGGGAAGGTTTCCACACCTTTATAAATGGTGGTTTGTTCTCCTCCCCAATCAACGTGAGACATCACAATCCTCCCCAATCAACGTCCAATCGCGTGGGTCTACCCCCAGTCCGCCCCCAAAATCTACCCCCTTTGGGGCCAGCGTCCTTACTGGCACACCGCCTCGTGTCTATCCCCCATCGGGAAACAGCAAGAAGGCTGACACATCGTCTGGTGTCTCGCTCTGATATCATTTGTAACGCCCCAAATTCACGGCTAGCAGATATTGTCATCTTTGGGCTTTCCCTTTCGGACTTCCCCTCAAGGCTTTAAAATGCCTGCTAGGAGAAGGTTTTTCAGACCGTCATAAATGGTCGGACTTCCCCTCAAGGCTTTAAAATGCCTGCTAGGAGAAGGTTTTCAGACTGTTATAAATGGTAGTTTGTTCCCCCTCTCCAACCAACGTGGGACATCACAATCCACATTTTAATATAGTTTAATATTGTTGTAAGAACATCACAATCCACATTTTAATATAGTTTAATATTGTTGTAAGAACTAAACACAACTAAATATAAGAAAAAATAAAAAATATTTTACTAAAAAAAGTAGTATGAATTATTGAGATACTTTTAAGAAACTAAAAAAAATGAAATAATAAAAATAATAAAAATAATAAAAAAGAAAAAAGAAAAGAAAAAGAAAAAGGAAAAGAAATAGAAGATGTGTACAACAAGAATTGACGGAAGCTTGGAGTAATTTAATAAGACCGAACTCTGGCAGATCCATGAAAACACTAAATTGTCTAAAACTGTTTTAATGTATTTTATACGTTTTTCTTTGGGTTAACTTGAAATTTTTGTCTCATGAACCGGAAACCAAACTCAGATAATTCAGGTTCAGAAAAATTAATTCGGTACAACTCGAAATGTTAATCCAATCAGACTCAACTCCTATAAATCGGGTGGGGTTAGTCTGAGTTGTCGAAAGAAATGAATGCGTTGTTTTGAAAACAATTTATTTATTATTATTATTATTATTATTATTATTATTTTTTTTGCTGTTAAGCACCGCCTTTACTGCATCTTCATCGCTCCCAAACTCTAGTGTTGTATCCTTAATACTATCGTCAAAATACAGGCGCCTAAGTCTAACTCTTGATTCACCTTTATTGATTCTCGTCCTATCATATCTAAATTCAACAATTTATCTGGATATATTGGGTCCGACATCCTTCATCTCACTGAGCCATAATAAAGGTGCAAGGAGTGAACTATAGAAACATTTATTCTTAGTTTGATTTTATTAAGAAGTAAAATAAAACAGATAAATTGAATACCAACTTTATTTTTGTGAAAATAAAAAAATATTTAAATAATACATTTTTTGACAGCTCCTTATCAACATTTTGGCTGATCTAGTTTGGGTCTTATATGTTCAGACCCTTTTCTACTAGTTTCAACTCTCTAAAAACATTTAAGGTTAATATGATTCTTTTAACTAGTTTAAATTATTTGGAATCTTGATCCTTAGGCGCATGTCTCAGCAACACAAAACGAGGGTTTTGCTCGTTATAGGACTTGACCAAACATCTCACGACACGAGCTGACGACAGCCATGCAACACCTGTATGAAATTACCATCCCGTTAAGGACAAGTTTTGTTGTTCATATGTCAAGGGCTGGTAAGGTTTTGCGCGTTGTATCGAATTAAACCACATGCTCCACCGCTTGTGCAGGCCCCCGTCAATTCCTTTGAGCTTCGGTCTTGCGGTCGTACTCCCCAGGCGGAGTGTTTCACGCGTTAGCTGGGCCCCTGATCCGTGTAAACCAAGGGCGAACACTCATCGTTTACGGCATGGACTACTAGGGTATCTAATCCCATTCGTCCTATCGTATATAAATTATTTTATGCAAAATTAGGTGAATCAATTCCCATAATATAATTCTAATTTATAATTTTAGGACTCTTTAAGTGAATTAAATTTAGCTTCAACTTACGCCAATTAAGTGGCTCTACTATCTACATAGTTAGAAGAATTGTCTTATATATGATGATACGTGCCCAATAGCCCCTACACATGTTATGTGTTTGGTACGGTTGTTATGTTTGATGATATGATATGTTTTGCTATATGCTATACCCCAGATACCTCAAGTAATATTATAACGTAAATGGATGACATAATCTAAATGGATGTCATATTATGTCGGATGAATTATATTATGATATGAGATCACATGTTGTACTATGACATGAATATGCTTACAATGAAATGTTATGACATGCAAATTAAAAGTTTTAGGATACACAACTCCTAAGTGATGTCATGGATGATATAATTTATGAAAGCTTATGTATGCATGTTGCGCTGCATGATTTATTTTTTAAAATGAAAAATATAGGAACCTTATGCATAATTGTATGTTCACATGCATCGGGATACTTCCCTTTTATGATGAATACAAACATGTACACGATAAGAATGAGATGATCATCATGCTTGACATGGTATATGACTGTCACTCTACAAGCCAGAAAAGCTAGCCCGACAAGCAAACCTAGGGGGTGTGTGAGCCGATCTGGTGGGCCCACGCTTGCACATGTGGGTCGTGTGTAAAAGAATACTACACACCCAATTTATCTGTCGAATGTGTTTGCATTCTCTGACCCCAATGTACGGTTGATGGCGACACGCATTAAAAAAACATGCATTCCCTGACCCCGTCGTTTTAAATCTTTCTTTGGTTTTGTTTTATTTTGCAATGAATATTTTGTCATTTTATTTTACAAACGTATAAATTCATTGCATCATTTTATGAATTATTTTAAATGAAGAACAAAGCAACTCTAGTTCCCTTTAAACATTAGAGTCATTACATCAAGGCAAGGGTAAGAGATAGAGATCCATTCCTAAGAAAGGTTTATTCAAACATCTACAGCCTTACAATGACAAGTTATGTCTAAAGGAATTGAGTCCTATTATGATGTATACGAGGTTGTTCTTTACCAGAATCCTTCTACAAATGCCATAATAACACAACAGTCAAACAATATGGCTTCCCTTCAACATTGAAACTCATCACCACCTCAACAACAATAGATACTAAAAAACTTCAATTGATAGTTCTAACACACCAATTGATAGTTGGATTAAGTCGGTTTATGGGTTTAAAGTAATGGCATATGATAAACTTCCACTCCTTTTCGCCATGCATAAACTAAACCGACAATTAGGATAAGCACGAAAATTAAAGCTTCTATAAAGACAGATACCCCTAATACATCAAAACTCAATGCCCAACGCACGTCCAAATGTTGGTTACTTCTTAGATATACTGAGTTGAATCAAATCAACACAAAGATTATTTAAAAGCCAATCAAGATACCACATCATAAAAAATCAATCACATCATTTGTTCGCCATCAACAACTTAGGATAAGTACGAAAATTAAAGTTTCTATAAAGACGGTGTACGTCCAAATGTTGGTTACTTCTTAGATACACTGGGTTGAATCAAATCAACACAAAGATTATTTAAAAGTCAATCAACATACCACATCATAAAAAATCAATCACATCAACTGTTCGGCATCAACAACTTAAATGTAGGTATTAAGGTAATGACAGACTGAAAGCTGCATTTTCATAAACTGCATACTCTAAGGCTAAAAATGAACAGCAGAAAAGTCTATATAATATACATATGAGACAGAATTTAAGCAAATAAATCCTTTTGGAAGTATTGTGTAGACACGAATCATACAAATACGAGACTTCAACTTCCTTTATTGTCTTTTCGAAATCTAGTCACAAACTGGGAGTGGGACTATATATGAAAAATACACTTTCAGAGGCATAAAAAAATTCCAATGTAGACTACCTCAATTTTTTACTATAAACAGAAAAATTGCATTTATCAAACATCACCTAAAGAAATAACACAATATCCATTTTAACATAACTCACATCCCCAACTTACACTTTACATGCAAGGGTCAAAAAGATATATTTTCGTACCTGATATGCATTTCGTCGAATCCATCTCTGGGAGCCACGAGACGACAAATCTACAAAAGATAATCTGCATCTTCCAAATATTTTTGTAACAAGTAGAACTCACACATTACAGCAAATCCATTAGGGGAGGTTGTCCAGATGATGATTTATTTTGAGTAGAACGAGATGTTGATGAAACCCCCCTCCCTCTTCCTCTTCCTCTACCAACAGCATTTGAGGGGGGCGGGGCAAGTCTAGGTGCAATATTATTCCCACTCTTACTAGGCGCAAATATGGATCCAAGATCAGTTAATTTTTTGTCCGCATCATATGCATGTTGGGATGATATTCCCTGGTTTTGCTTCTGGAATCCAATAGAACTTTGGGAATTGAAGCCCCCAGTTCCCAGGCTGCTTGAATTGAAAGTTGAATTGCCATGATTTTGTCTCATTGGTTCACTAATATTTTTGTTGTTGAGGGTCCAACTGGCATTGCCGTTTGTTTGAAAGTTCAAACTGTTCGATGTACCCACAGTTCCATATTTGTTCATGGATGGTCCAACCACCCCATTGTTGGAAGCTTGAGACGCATTTCCTAATGAGCCACTAGGACGTGGAGGCCAGTCAGCAAAAGGGTCCACATTATCCAAGCTTGAAGTAGATGATTCTCCTGT